AAAAAAAAAAAAAAAAAAAAAAAGAAGAAGGAAAGGTCATCCTTGTTAAACAATTGCAAAGAATTTGGGTGTATTGTATCCAGGCACTGATGGAAGGCAAAAATTAAAAGCAATCAGATATCTGGTAGAAGAAATAATATGTAAGCAGCAAGGTATCCAGGCTACTTTGTGAAGCCATGGAAACACAACCACCCTTAAGACCTCAGAATTCAAGAGCTACCAGTGTACAACTATCCAGCCTGTACAACTGCTGCCTAACTGAGCCCAGCAAAGCCATTGGGCAAGGGCTGTTAGAGGCTTTAGGGACCCAAACACCTACCTCAAAGTGTTCAAGTGGCATCACATTGAATAAAAATTTTTCTTCTCCAGCTTTACAACTTATTATAGTTTTTCCTGTTGGGTTCTGGATTTACTTGGATCAAGTTACCCCTCTTTCTTGACTACCTCTCCCTTTTGGAATCAGAGTGTCTAGCCATGCCCAACCCACTGTTGTATGTTTGAAGTAAGTAACTGGCTTTAATTTCACAGGCCCACAGCTGGCGGGAATACATCTCAGGATGATCTGTGACTTAAGTCTCACCCCCATATGACTGAGATGAGATTCTGGACTTCGAACTTTTTAACTGACATCAACACAAATTATGCCTGTAGGGGTGATTAGGATAGGATGAGTCTTTTATATTTGAGAAGCACATGAGTTTTAGGAGGCCAGAGGGCCAATTTATATATATATCCCTTCTAAAATCCATGGAGAAATGTATTTGCTACTAGAAGAGGTGTTGTCTTCAAGAAATGATTAGATAATTGAAAGATCTCTGTCTTATGAATGGATTAGTGCTCTTACCATAAATCAGTCAGTTATATTTATTCTGGGTTTGTTATAAAAGTGAATTTCGCCAGATTCTTTCTGTCTCTCTGGCATATCCTCCACCATGTTATAATATAACACAAAGATACTCGCCAGATGTCACTGTCATATTCTTGGACTTTCTGATCTCCAGAACCATAAGCCAAATAAACCTCCATTGTTTATAAATTACCCATTTTGTGAAATTCTTATACAGCAGTAGAAAAGAGACTAAGACAAGCCTCATGTGATTAGATTATGCCCATTCGTGTAATCTCCTTACCTGGTTGAGCATGCAGTACAACATAACATGAACCTAGGTATAATATATTCACAGCTTTCAGAAACTAGAATGAGATGTCTTTGGGGCAGAATCATTTCTATGTACCCCACTAGAGAAGAAAAAGAGTAGAAGAATAATTTGGGAGGGGTCAAAGTGAGAATAAAAGGAGCTGGCTTAAAAACAGCAATCAGTGTTTAGAGCAAATAACATAGTCCCCTGGCAACTGCCAACGCACTAAGAGGGATCCAAGCAGTCCTGAAGATTAAAATCATATTTTCATAATAAAGTTCTACCAGATAAAAGTTTTGGTTACAAAATGTACTGTTTTCCTGAAACTGGCTTAAACAGCAAATATATTTATTTTTACCATATAGCAGAAAGGACAGAAATAGGATGGTTCAAAAAGATCCTTTGAGCCAGGCATGGTGGTGCATGCTTGTAACCCTAGCACTCAAAAGGATGAGGAAGAAGTATTGCCATGAGTTTCAGGCCAACGTGGGCTAGCAAGTTCAAGACCAGCCTGAAAATAAATAGGAAGACCCAGTCTTAAAGAAGTGGAAGAAGAAAGAAGGAAGGTGGAAGGAAAGGGGGGGGAGGGGGAGGAGGAGGAGGAACAACAACAACAACAACAACCCCCTTTTCAAATGCAAACTCTAGTGCTACTCTAAAATTCTAAAGGTTTTACTGTGTTCACAGAGTCCTGAGCATCCCATCAATTCAGACCAAAGTAATAGCCTCAGGACAGACAATAACTACTGGTCAAATCTGTAATTACTTTGGCAATACAGATATTAAAACCTAAAAAGTTTCTTTGGGGAGAATATTATATATGTATTGGTGTTAAATTCTATCATTATGCTTATTAAATAAAAATAAAAATAAGTATGGGATATAATAAAATAGAAACAGAGAAATCTGATTTTAAAAATGTGAACTCTTTTAGTTATTTTTGGATTTCAAATATAAGTATATTTCTTTTCTGTGGGAAGTTTTGTTAGAAAATGTAAGTGATACAATCAACAAGCATATGATATTTATCAAATTAATAAAACCAATGAGTTTATAAATCATAAAAAATTGAGGACAGTTTCTCAACTATAATATGTAACTTTGTTTCATTTGTAAATACATTATTTCAAAAATATTATATGAAAAGAAAATGAGAAAGAACATATGTTTGAAGATCATATCAAACTAATAATATATTTGGATTATCAGTCTGTGTTGCATAAATTTTTGTTTATTTCATATCCTTTTTTGCTGTCATATATATGTATATTTGAAATTTTTATTTAGTATCTTCATTTCTTGTTGTCTTGTATGTTTGCAATCTTTAATTCAAAAAATGAATAAAAAAATAAAACCTAAAAAGTTCCCTTCTCTTTTCCTCTGATTAGCAGCTACAGCCCAAGATATTGCCCAAAAATCATTTCTCCATCCGATCTAACCACCACCTCTATGTCTTGGACACTTCCAGAGCCCCACAGTTGAATAGTTTTTAATCTTGAGAGAATTCAAACCAATGGACTTGAGCCAGATATAGCGGTGAAGAGTTACAATTCATCTACTCCGGAGACTGAGGGAGGAGGATCACAAGTTCCAAGCAAGTCTGGACAACTAAGCAAAATCCTGTCTCAAAAGTAAAAACAAACAGGAAAAGAAAAAAAAAACACCTTTTTGTTTTTAAAAAAAAAAAGAGCTAAGGACATAACTTGGTGCTCCCTCCCTTCAATCTCCAGTATCACCTACCCCCCCAAAAAAGGACTTGTCTCCTCTGTCTAGACAGAAGTGTTTAAGTATTTGAAAGGGCTGAAAAAAAAAGCTAGTTTTATACCTTTTTTTCCTGCTATGTTTCCTACTTCCCTCTTAGACAAAGTTCAGCTTACATAGTTCTAAATCACGAGGAA